TTAAGAGAACCAACAATTTACTGACAAGAATATGTTTTAACAAAGGGCGTTCTTACACTACTGAAAATTTTAATTTATAAATTAAAAAATAAAAATAAAAAATACAGTTGACCCTCGAACAGCAAAATGAGGGTCCACTTACACACTGATATTTATGCAATAAACTAGAGGCCTGGTGCATGAAATTCATGCAGGGGAGGGGTCCCTCAGCCAGGCCTGCACCCTCTCTATTTGGGGACCCTTTGGGCGATGTCCGACTGCCCTGTGGAATTGGGCCTAAACCAGCAGGACATCCCTCTCGAAATCCTGGACCGCTGGCTCCTAACTGCTCCTAACTGCTCATCTGCCTGCCTGCCTAATCGCCCCTAACCCCCCTGCCTGCCTGCCTGATTGCCCCTAGCCACTTCTGCCTGCCTGCTTGATGCCTCTAACCACTCTCCCCTGCCTGCCTGCCTGATCACCCTAACCGCCTCTGCCTCGGCCCCCACCACCATGGCTTTGTCTGGAAGGACGTTCGGTCTATCCGGTCTAATTAGCATATTACCCTTTTATTAGTATAGATAGTATAGATACCTGTACTGTTTTTGATCCACGGTTGCAGAGTCATTACACATAGGGAACTTGAGCACCAAGGATTAGGTATTCGCAGCGGGGGTGGGGAAATCAGCACCCTTTAAGCCCCACATTGCTCAAGGATCAAAGGTATCGCTTCCTCTGCATTAATTCTGGGGATACACCACCACGAAAAAAGCAGCCCTACTTCTTAGGCCAACATTCCTAAAGCCTGGCAGCGGAAATGTGGAAAACCCTGACTGCCTACACCGTCCAGAAATGAGTTCATTTGTAAATATTGTCACTCAGCATCTGTCAAAAGACAACTAACTGCATGAGACACTGATACTTCAGGGAAGTTACCTGGAAATAAATTAACTAAACCCTAATAAATCACTTCCCCAGGATGATGTTCACCGTATTACTAAAGCTTTTCTAGTCTGCTGAGGCTTTTACCTAGCTTCTCTACAACGGCATGTGAAAATGTTTCTCTATCACTCGTAAAACATTTTGTCCACATGTTAATGTCATTTTATATATGAATTTAAACAATCACTTATTCTTCATACCAGAGAAAGGTCTGCTTCTCCTGGTTAATCGGTATACTTCCTTTCATTAATCAATGCCAACTATAATTAGTACCGCTTCCTCTTACGCTTTGACTAATAATTTAAAATTTTAAAAAACCTTTAGCGACATGCAGATGCTGAGCGCTCCCTGCAAAACCATCCTAAACCCTCCTGAAGTAGACAAATAGTAAGGTATGTACATTCACTGACCTGCTAGGGTGACCTAAACTCTTGAATGTCCAAAAAGCAGAGAATAAGATAAACAAGACCAATCACTGGGCTCCAGCTTTCGGTTTGCACAAGTTAGACATGGGCCTTCCGTGGCCTCCTCCGGCAGCGACAGCCAGCCTCGTGCTGACCAGCCGAACCGGTTACTGGAATGTCCGCTCGCCAGGAACTGAGATCACAAAAATGTCAGTCCTGGGCCTCAAGGAGATTAAAGTCTTTTCTTGACAAAGAGGAACCATCTGTGGGAAAGTGTAACTTTTGGGACAGCCCTGAGAAAGCTCCTATTGCGATAAAATCTGAATCCAGCCCTCACCGGTCTGGCTCAGTGGATAGAACGTCGGCCCTGGAATGGAAGGGTTCCGAGTTTGATTCCAGTCAAAGGATGTACCTTGGTTGCGGGCACATCCCCAGTTGGGGGCATGCAGAGGCAGCTGATGGATGTTTCTTTCTCATCAATGTTTCTAACTCTCTATCTCTCTCCTTCCCTCTGTAAAAACCAATAAAATATATATTTTTTAAAAAATCTGAGTCCAGCCAGATGTTTGATGATCTGGCCCAGCCAGAGTGACGATTGAGCATCATCCTATGCACTGAAAGGTACCCGAGTTGTGGGTTGGATCCCTGGTTGGGGCGTGTATGGAAAGCAACCAATCGATATATCTCACATCAATATTTCTCTCTCTCCCTCCCCCCAAACATGTCCTTGGGTTAAGGTTAAACACACACACACACACACACACACACACACACACGAAAACTATTCATAAAGCCAAAATGCAGAAACAACCACCCAGGTGTCCACGGATGAATGGCTAAATAAAATGCGGTACATGCACACACAGTGAACCATTACTCAGCCTTAAAAAGGGACCCTGGCATATGCTCCCACAGAAATGAACCCTGAAGGAGCTTAAGTGAAATGCACCAGTCACTGAAGGACAAATACTGTAGAGTAGGGGTGTCGAACTCAATCAGAGAAGGGGCCAAAATCTAAAATCCAGCCTAAATCGCGGGCCAAATGGTTTACTGAACAGTCATAAACTGTCATTGTGATGGAAACACAGCGGAGTGCAGTGATGACAGCGCGGTGGGGGCCACATTGCAAGGCCTGGCGGGACGGATTTGGCCCGCGGGCCTTGTGTTTGACACATGTGCTGTAGAGGTTCCAGGAGTAGCCGCATTCACAGAGAAAACAGCATGGTGGCTGCCGGGGCTGGAAGCGGGTGGAGTGAGGGTCACTCTCCCCTTTGCCACAAGAATAGCCACAGGGCATCAAGGTGTTTAATGGAGACAGAGTTCCAGTTAAGGAAGAATAAAAAGTTCTGGAGATGATGGTGCTGACGGTGGCAAAACAGTGTGTGTACTTAATGCCATAAAACCATACACTTAAAACTGGTTAAAATGATAAAATTAGTTTTATATATATACATATATTTAGCACAGAAGTCACCTGAATATTTCAGGTTGGAGAGCGTTTCCTTCATCCAACAAGCACCAGCTAAGGACTCCTACACATGACCCGGTGTTCCTCACCCCCACTTACAGCCCCGATGCAACCCAACGCAGAGCACAGGGCCGGGCTCCGGCATCGCACCATGCCAGTCCCGTCCGCACTCCAGCTCCGCACTCCGGGCCTCCGTCTCCGAGTCTTCCTCTCCTGCCCGCGAAGTCAGGGCAGCGCCTCAGGTCACTCTCCCCTTCGCCACAGAATGGCCGCAGGGCATCAAGGTCACAGGCGTCTCCTTTCTCAGGTGAGACCAGCAGCCACACGTCAGACAGAGGCAGGGAAAACCATCTGTGCCGCAGCAGTCCCTCTGCCTAGAAGGTGACACTGAGCCCACTACCACCACACGCACCGCAAATCACTGCCAAGCGAGGAGAGAGCACACGAAAATGAAATGCCTTCGAAAACCAAGATAACAACTCTCAGCCGCGGCAAAACACGTCACTGCAAAGCCCCACACAGAGCACAAGCAGGGTGCGGGAGACAGAACCCGCCTGCGGGGCGGCGAGGGTGCGGGAAAAGCAAGCACCCCCAAAACACGGGCCCGAATAGTCTCTGCCCCAGATGAAAGGTGACTAACACGTCTTCTCCTCCGACGGCTCAGCGGGCAGTGAATAAACCCGCACCAACACTTCCATCCCAGTGCTTCATGGGCCACATTAAAAGCATCCTTAGTGTTTCTAATCTGAAGACAGAGTTTTATAAGGTATGTCCTACAATCAGGTTTTGAAACAACTATGTGTGTACAGATGTGCCACGTGTAGCTCCCTAGATTTACAGACAACGCATGGCGAACAGACGGGTTCCTCCAGAACCTGGTTCCTGCTGGCATCAGCTGGCATCAGCACTGCCGGAGTTACCATGCACAAGCCCCACTCCAGCATCCTGTGCCAGCATCCTTCCTGCACTAAATGACGGGGGCTCTTTGGGGAAGACGAATACTTTGACTTAGAAATGCCAATGTCCACAGCAATATGGTTTTCCATTGCGTTAACCTTGTAGTCAAGCGCATTAAAAAGAAATGCATCATTCCAAGTTACCTAACTTCCGCCCTGTTCCATCGCTGGGTGCTGCCCTGGAGGCACCAGCAATGCGAAGACCACTGACGGTCAGGATGGTAGCGATTCAGAACACGCCGAGGACCGAGGACCTCGAGGTCCGGGCCCTTGGATGAGAGGAATGCATGTTCTTAAACCGAACGCATATCCTTAAACGGAGCTGGTGGCAGGAACACTCAAAACTTCCGTGGATCGCCGAAACCAGTTTGGCTCAGTGGATAGAGCGTCGGCCTGAGGACTGAAGGGTCCCGGGTTCGATTCCAGTCAAGGGCATGTACCTTGGTTGCGGGCACATCCCTGGTAGGGGGTGTGCAAGAGGCAACTGATCGATGATTCTCTCTCTCATCGATATTTCTCTCTCTCTATCCCTCTCTCTTCCTCTCTGTAAAAAAATCAATAAGTATATTATAAAAAAAAACTTCTGTGGATCGGTCACTCCGGCTCTTCCAGCATGACTTTCTCCACTCCCTGACCACCACAGAGCAAGGCCTGGCCACTCACCTCCGCTCCAGCACGGCTGCGGGTGTGTGGGGTCTGCGGGCAGAGCCTGGGCAGCTGGGCGCTGCAGATCATGGGCACAAATCTGACGCTGCCCTAGACACCCTGATTGCCGGAGATGGCGGCCCCAGGAAAGGCTCCTGGGCAGCGGCCACAAGTCCTGGCGAGGGGCGGGGATGGAAGACGGCCGGGGCCACCCGCCAGGACCCAGGGACAATCCTCCCTTCCTGCCCGGCGCCCCGGGGGCTCGCGCTTCCTGCCCGCAGCACCGCAGCCGCGGCCGCCCCGCAGCCTCCGGCCCCCGCCGGGTCCGCCGGGTCCGCCTGGACCGCCGCCGCCGCAGCCCGGCCCGCACAGTGGGTGCGCGCACCCGGACCTGTCAAACCCCGATCCGCATCCCCAACCGGAGCCGGAGCCGGAGGCCGCACAAAGTCCCCCGCAGCGGCCACGCGGGAGGGCGCCAGGGTGGCGGCGGCGCACAGCCCCGCAGGCCGCGCCGTCTGCCCGCGCCGGCCCCGCCGCCCGCCGGGCCTGAGCGCGGGCCGGGCGCTCCCCCCGCGGACACAAAGCGGCGCCGCGGGCCCGCCTCACCTGCAGCACGGGGCGCCGCGGGCCTTCGAGAACCATCGGACCCCTCTCGGGCGCGTGCGTCACAGGCCAGGCCTCCCGGTGCCGCCCGGCGCCGCCGCCGCCGCCGCCATTTCCTCCCGCTCGCCGCCGCCGGTCCCCGCTGTCAGCTACTCCATGCACCTGGGCCCTGCAGCCCGCGCCCGCGCGCTCCGCCTCGACCCCTCCCGCCGGCGCCTGCGGAGACTGCGCAGCGCCCGGCTCGCCCGCAGCCCGCGCACGGCCCGCGGCAACGGCGCACGGCCGCTTGGAGAATCCCGCCGGCGCCCACGCCGCCCCGGCCGCCCGCGCCGCGCCGCGCCGCGCCCGCGCGGGCATGAGAGCCGGCCTGTGATTGGGCGGCGCGCGGCGGTGAAAGGTCAACCCCGGCCCCTCGGCCACTCAGCGGCGCGGAGACGGCGGGCGCGGCGCGGAGGCTGAGGCGGGGCCTGCGGCGGCCTAACGGCGGCGAGGCCGGGCCGCCCTGTGCCCTCGTGGCCCGGCGGGTCCGAACCTCCTGGTGCTCGGAGCTCGCCCGCCGCCCGTGCTGCCCCGCGTGGCGGCCATCGCCCCTCAGCGTGGCCCTGCCCGCGGCCGGAGGGCACAGCGTCCTCTGCCCACTCCCCTCCACGTGCAGAGACCTCCCCCCTCGCTTGGCCTACACCCCGCTAGTGGCGCAGGGTCCTCAGCATTGGGGGGGGGGGGGGGGGGGGGGGGGGAGGGGAGAGACACGGGACCATCTCCCACCCCAACCCCGGATCTGGGACAGCCACGGACAGCTGGGACAGTGGTCCCACTATGTAAAAGGTGCATTGCAGAGGTTGCTACCCGGCCCCATCCCTTGCAGCTGGGCATTAAAAATATGAAGGCCCAGGGTCTGGCTTAAGGAAAACCCTATCAGTGCGCCCCACCATGCAGACATCGCTTCCAGAGGCACCCCTAGGTGCACTCCAGAGGAATGCTTTCGTGCCCAAGAGCAGCACCTACTGTGTGCTGGGCGTTGTGTAGGTCAGCAAGGTTCAAGACTGAGCTCTTGCAATACAGCTGCTCCCAGGCTGGCTGCAACTCAGATGCATGTGTTGGTTACCAAAGAAGGCTGTAACACATCTCCTTAGTCATGTGTTTGCTTATTACATGGTGAAGTGGTAATACTTTTTGATAAGTTGGAATAACTATTCGTTTCATTTGTGTCTGTTTACAATGTGAGGGCCAGAAGGATGTTAATGCTTCCTGTGGCTCCCATGATGTTGCTCTTGGCCGGGCCGATGGAAGAGGGAGATCTTTATAGGACCCTGTGAGGTCTGGCCAGTAATTGTCCCCCACTCCCTGTCTATTAAGAGAAACAAAATAATAACCTCCAGCCACTGAGCAGGTCAGATGGGAACGACTGAGATGTGAGCCCAGGGTCTGGCTGGGAAGCCGGTGTGCTCATGGCTCCTGCACATCCAGGTACTGTAAGGTCACCAGGGCGCAGGCTGCTCCTGGGTGAGAGGAGGAAATGGAGTGCTCTGGGCAGACTTCCCTAAAAGGAACGCTTCCTATACGGCACGCACTGTGGGCAGCACATGGAAGGCTGTGGGGACATCGTCCTCTATGGGAAGAATGGCATCCTGGGGTGGGCATGGCCACGGGGCCCAGCAGTGAGAATTACTTCCAGCCCCTCCTGCTGGCCTCTCAGTCCCTCAAAACAAGCTGGGCTGGCCCTGACCGGTTTGGCTCAGTGGATAGACTAAAAGGTCCCAGGTTCGATTCTGGTCAAGGCCATGTAACTTGGTTGTGGGCACATACCCAGTAGGGAGTGTGCAGGAGGCAGCTGATCCATGATGTTTCTCTCTCATGGATGTTTCTAACTCTCTATCCCACTCCCTTCCTCTCTGTAAAAAATAAAATAAAATAATAAATAAATAAAATAAAACTAACTGGGCTTCATTAGCTGGCTTGTCTGATTTTCATCAATTAAAATATATATATATATATATATATATATATATATATATATATATATATATATATATATTTATATTTATATATGGTTCATCCATCGGAAAGCCTAAAAGGTTATACAGTTAAAAATCCCTCCCCCACACCTGTCTCCACACCCAAACATGTAACCACTATGCTTTGCTCCTTCCTCCTAGGCAATCTTTTTGTGCCGGTAGAAGCCAAGACATTCCCCAATTTGCAAACATAGTTGCAGTCCATACACAATCATTACACTTTGCTTTTTATTACTTAATGTATCATAAATATGTCTGTAGCAGTATATACAGAGCTCCTCACTAATTTTTTTTTCAATTCCCATAACATTTTATTATAGGAATATGCCATACTTTATTTAACCAATCCTCTATTGAGGGGCATTTACCAGGTAGACTTTTGTAATTAAGCATCATCGGTCCATTTGGAACTGACTCGGTATATGGGGTGAGGTATGGATCCAAATTAATATTTTTTCCAGACGGCCGCACAGCGTGCCATTATTGTCCATTTGTTGAAGAGCTCACTTCTAGACTATTGTGTCCCAGAGGTGTATCTATTCATCCTCCAGTTGCTCGTGTCTTAAAATCTGGAGAAGAAATCTTGTAAGGGGGAGTGTTTCATACTTGGTTGAGATCACTAAAAAGCTTAGTGCTAATATTCCAGCCCATATTAAACAACAGCGCAGTACCATGTGGTAAGCATTTTCTGTGGGTTAATTTTCCCCCCTTGCCCTGACTATTCCACAGTTTGTTTTATTTTTTATTTTTTTATAGAGCAAGGCAGGATATCAGTACACCTTTGTTCAAGCCCTAGCTGTTTGGCTCAGTAGAGAGAGCGTCAGCCTGGGGACCAAATGGTCCCAACTTAGATTCTGGTCAAGGTCATGTACCGTGGTGGCAGGCTCCTCCCGGGCCCAGGCCCCAGTCTGGGCATGTACAGGAGGCAACCAGTCGATGTGTTTCTTTCACATCAATGTTTCTCTCTGTCTTTCCCTCTCTCTTCCGCTCTCTCTCTAAAAGACCAATGGAAAAATATTCTCAGGTGAGGATAAAAAAAACGAAAGATTCTCTGTTTGTATCAGAAACCAACCTGCAGTAGCTTAACCAAAGGGAAGGATTTATCATTAGGATGCCAGGAACAGGAATACAGCGGCATCTCAGCACAGGATGTGGGCCAGGGTTAGGAAGTGTCCAGAAACACACAAGATACTCCTGGTGTCCTTCTCCTGTGATTTTCCCCTGTGTGTCTGCTTCATCATTGTATCTCTCTACTAGTGTGTTCTCTCTGCTTCTCTGACTGCACAGGATGCTAGCGCCACGGCCATATTCAGCCAGGAAGTCGGGCCAGGGTGGAGGTCAGACCCCTAACAAGGAAGCGGGGCAGCCTCCAGAGGCCGGCGGCTGATCCCATGGGCGCTACAGAGAGGAAAACCACATCGAGGAAAGCAGGAGCCAGACTCCTCCCCGGTGGAGAAGGGGTTGCAAACCCAGTAATGAGAAGAACAAGCAGGCTGTGTGACGGGATTGGAATTAGAGGCAGTGATGTGAATTCAAGGTTTGCAATACACGCAGCTATAACAATAAATGTAAATGTATTTTAAGTGCCATAGAGGTGAGTCTGGAACATCTTATTGTGTCAGAAAGTAGGAAATGCACGAGGAATGTTGGAGACGTTTCAAAAAGGCAAAGCAGTCATCTTGAAGGGGCCACGTCTGGGACAATTTGAGCATCAAAATAAATTACAAAATAAATAGGAGAATATAGCCCATGTAATAAAGTATAATCCACGAGACCACACAGATATTTTTTAATTGAATAAACTAGAGGCCTGATGCATGAAAATTCATGCACAGGATTGGGGGGCCCTAAGCCTGGCCTGCCCCCTTTCACAATCTGGGAGCCCTCAGGGGTGGGAGGCAACACAGTGATCAGGGGAAGGCGATGCCCCCATCACACCTCTGCTGCTGCCACTGCTGGCAGCGAAAGTCTCGGCCTGAGGCGGCCCTGGGCAGCTGGGCAGATGCCATCAAAGGCTTGCCTGTGCCTCCGGCTGGCCCTGGGCAACTGGGGGACCAAGGGGACTGGGGGACTCCAGAAAGAGGCTCGCAGAACGGCCAGACCCACCTGGGGGCAACCCAGCCATGCCATGCACCTGCCACCATGGCAAGGCTGAGGGTACTGGGTGCCACCATCTTGTGACTGTGGGCACCACCATCTTTGTGAGGGTGTTACAGTCAATTAGCACATTCCTTCTTTATTAGATAGGATAAATGGGGATAAGAGATAGCTCATACTTAGAGTAGAATGTAGGCAAAAAATAATGGAGTTAAAAAAATCACCATTTGGCAATCATCAGGTAAGAAATATCAACGTTTGCTATATCCAGTGGATAAAAGTTGGACACGCAATGAAATATTTGCATAGGTCCAAAGCATCTCCCCATAAAATTCTTCTTTCAAAAATGAGAACTTTTTTTTGCAAAAAAGAGCCAGAGCCGGAAGAAGTGGGCACCACCCCACGGGTGCTGCGTGTCTGTATGCCGAGCACACGGGGTAGGGAACTGCTCCTGTCTCTAAACAACAAGAAATAGATCGAGGCCCCGGGGGGAGTGGCATCCTCAGGGCAGAGGGCTGCTCCGAGGCCTTGGCCACCTCGAGCACTGACTGGTCCGGGGTTTCGTCTCTCCACGGACCTGCTCAGCCCCGCGTGGGAGGCCGTGGGCTCGGCTATGAAAAGAGGGAAGGCGGTGCCTTCTGGACCATCCAGATTTGTCTCTGGTCACTGATGTCACTAGAGACCGGACAAACCAACATCCGGGGCGACAGAACCGCCTCTGGAGTGTTTTTGCCAAAAACGCGCATCTTATGAATTGGGAGGAAATGTCACACAAGCCCCTAAAGAGGCTGCTCCACACGACGCCAGGCCTGTGATCTTCAAAAAGGTCCCGACGATGAAAGTCAAAGGCAGACTGGAGATACGGCTTCAGGATGAAGGAGACGAGAGGGGTGCGACCGGTAAGCCCCGCGGGACCCTGGTTAGGAGTTCAGTGCCCTAAAGTAGGGGTGTCGAACTCAATCAGAGAAGGGGCCAAAATCTAAAATCCAGCCTAAATCGCAGGCCGAATGGTTTACTGAACAGTCATAAACTGTCATTGTGATGGAAACGCAGCGGAGTGCAGTGATGACAGCACGGTGCGGGCCACATTGCAAGGCCTGGCGGGACGGATTTGGCCCGCGGGCCTTGTGTTTGACACATGTGCCCTAAAGGCTTCATTGGTGTCGCCGCTGAGGAGTGAACCAAGTGAGTCTGGACGTTTTTTAAAAATATATTTTATTGATTTTTTATTTTTTTTAACAGAGCAGAAGGGAGAGGGAA